TGCAGAGCACACCCCGCCTGCAGATGGAGGACAGACTCCACGGACACTTGTGGGAGCGACTCAGAAACGCCCGGAGGCCCCGGCACCGCAGCCACAGCGCAGCACGGCCGGCTGGTGACAGGAGAGCGATGGCCGGACAGGCAGCAGCGGCCTGTCCAGAAGCACAGGGGGCGGCGAGGAGGCGGCCACAGCCATTCGTTCCGGGAAACAGGCTGTGGGCAGTTCTCATAGAAGCGGGACAGATGTCTGTGTGTCTGTGTGTCTGTCTGTGTGTGTGTCTGTGTGTGTGTGTCTCTCTGTGTGTCTCTGTGTGTGTCTGTGTGTCTGTCTGTGTCTCTGTGTGTGTGTCTCTCTGTGTGTCTGTGTGTCTCTCTGTGTCTCTGTGTGTGTGTCTCTCTGTGTGTCTGTGTGTCTCTCTGTGTGTCTGTGTCTCTCTGTGTGTCTCTGTGTGTGTCTGTGTGTCTGTCTGTGTCTGTGTGTGTGTGTGTCTGTTTTTTAATCTTTAAAAAGAATAAATGACTTGGCGGGCGTGGCTCAGTGGTTGAGCGTTGACCTAGGAACCAGCAGGTCAGGGTTCCATTCCCGGTCAGGGCACAGGCCCGGATTGTGGGCTCGATCCCCAGTGTGGGGCGTGCAGGAGGCAGCCGATCCATGATTCTCTCTCCTTGTTGATGCTTCTCTCTCTCCCTCTCCCTTCCTCTCTGAAAAAAAAGAAAGAAGAAGAAATCACCCCAGGCGCTTACCAGCCAGGAAGGCCAGAGCTGATGGCAGCCGCAGCCCGAACAGAACACAGCTGCCTGGACCCCTTGGTTTTCCTCAGAACCAGGTGCAGGTGGGCCCCAGGGAAGGACAGCACCTTAGAGAAAGGCACTGACAAAGGCTGCAAAGTGCCTCCCTAGCTCACTGCTCCGGCACAGGCGTGTGGAGCCCTTTCCCTCCTCGCCTCTAAGGCTCGGGGCGCACAGCGGGGACCCGGACGGAGGGGACGCAGCCCCCCCACGGGCACCGAGGAAATGGCCGGAAACACAATCAGATGGCATTCTGCCGCCCCGGGCCCCTCTCGGCTCAGAGGGGGAGCTTGGAGGCAGTTCTAGAAACACCAGCTCTAAACTAATTTCCAAAATGTCACCCTCAGTGACGAGATCACACCACCTGTGGTCACCTGAAACATTTGGTGGAGAACACGCAGATTTACCGGAAAACAGAACTACGGAAGAACGGGGGGTGCCCACACTACCGTCCTCCAAGCAATACAGCAGGTCCTCCCCCCCCCACCACCACCAGGCAGCACTGTGCGGCCCTCGCTGCCTCCGGGCCCGCCTGCCGCCCGGAGCCTGGGGACAGGCGCTCCCGGACCAGCTGGCCACGCCGACCCAGACAAGGCGCCGGGCACAGCGACCCTCTCTGACCGCCGAGAAGGCGACGCTCAGGGCTCAGTGCCAAACGCAAAAGGAGTGGGCCCGCCCAGGCAGGTGTGTGGCTCGCAGGGGAGGCCAGGGCCGGTGGCCACCTCCCTGGAAACGAGCTACGTATCATCTGCTGGTCCCCACACTGTCGCAGGCAGCCAGCCAGCAGGAAGCGTCCAACGCAGGAAGGAGGTGGGTGACAGGGATGAAACGGATGACAAGGACCCTGGCCAGTGTGCTCAATGGTTAGAGCGTCGGCCTGCAGACGGAAGGGTCTCAGGCTCGATTCGGGTCAAGGGCGTGCCCCTTGGCTTCAGGCACCGTCCCCAACCCCCTAGTCAGCGTGTGTGGGAAGCAACCAATGATGTGTCTCTCTCACATCGATGTTTCTCACTGTCCCTCCCCCTCCCTCCCCCTCCTTCTTCCTCTTAAAAAAAAAAAAATCACCGGGAAAAACATCCTCGGGTCGGGATTACCAAACACAACAACAAGGAACCGGATGGCATCAGCGGGGAAAGTGAAACCTCCCCCAGTGGCCCCGGAGAGAGCCGCTTCCGCCTGTGGCTCCGCTGAGCAAAGAGCCGGAGCCTGCCGTGGGGCAACCGGCACGGACAGGGTCACACACCGCGGCCGGCGGGGGCGGCCTCAGCTCCGAGGAACATCCGCCAGCAGTCAGGTGCTCTCACGCGGGCGCCTCACAGAGCAGCCCGGCCCCACTCGACGCTGGGGACTCACCGCAGCGATTTCCACTGACTCATCCTTGAGTCACTCACGGTGACCAAGGGGAAAAACCAGGTACAGATCTGTGTCACCGCAGCCAGGGAGGGTGCTGGGAATTTCTCACGGGGTATGACCTGCGGGCAGAAGCCCGGCAACGGGTGGGGTCCCAAGACCCTGTTGCTAAGGACCCAGATGTCCTGGTGAACGAGGTCCCCAACGGGCGGGGTGGAAGGAGTGAGGTGCGCTCGGCAGGGCGTCAGCATGAGCATCATCGCTGCCCAGGCCCCCAGCCCCGCCTCCATTCCACGGGCACAGAGGCAGGGGGTCCGGAGGGCAGGGACCGTCGGGGCCGCATCTCATGCCTGTGTCATTTTGGACAAGATTTCCAGGCCACTTTATGTTGTGCAAATTCCGGGTAATCTTCACCTCACAGAGCGGGTGTGAAGTTTGTTTTTTGAAAGATGAAGTACAGCCCTAACCAGTGTGGCTCAATGGATAGAGCGTTGGCCTGCGGACTCAAGGGTCCCAGGTTCAATTCCGGTCAAGGGCATGTACCTGGGTTGCGGGCACATCCCCAGTAGGGGGTGTTCAGGTGGCAGCTGATCCATGTTTCTCTCTCATCGATGTTTCTAACTCTATCCCTCTCCCTTCCTCTCTGTAAAAAATCAATAAATTAAAAAAAAAGAAAGAAAGATGAAGTGCATGCCCTGGTCGGTGGGGCTCAGCTGGTTGAGCATCATCCCGGGCACCCGGGGTCGCAGGTTCGATTCCCACCAGGGTCTATGCCCAGGTCACAGGTTCTACTGATGTTTCCCTCTCCCCCTCCCCCTTCCTCTCGACAACTACAACCCATAAAAACTTTTTTTTTAAAAAAAGATAAATTATAGTACCTAACACATATCAGTTTCAGCTTTAAGATTTCAAATCCTTGTTAAATTAAATATATGGCCTCAAAGTTTAACCTAAATTGATTATTGAAATAGCAACTGGAGCCAAAACCGGTTTGGCTCAGTGGATAGAGCGTCGGCCTGCGGACTGAAAGGTCCCTGGTTCGATTCCGGTCAAGGGCATGTACCTGGGTTGCGGGCACATCCCCAGTGGGAGATGTGCAGGAGGCAGCTGATGGATGTTTCTCTCTCATCGATGTTTCTAACTCTCTCTCTCTCTCCCTTCCTCTCTGTAAAAAATCAATAAAATATATTTTAAAAAAAATAGCAACTGGAATTGCAAGTTATAAATGGGTGGTGAAAAGTCATTTAAAAAGTCCTAATCTTTTCTTTTTAAAAACAAACAAACAAACAAACTGATTTTAAAGAGAGAGGAAAGGAGAGAGAGAGGAAGAGAGAGAAATTGTTTTTCCACTTAGGTACGCATTCCTCGGTGGATTCTTGTACGTGGCCTGACCGGGGATCAATCCCTTCTTGGCTATCAGGATGATGCTCTAACGGACTGAGCCACACCCGCCAGGGCCAAGAAGCCTCATCTTTAACTACCCCCCCCTCATTCATTCTTCCTGTGACAGCGCCAGGCGCCAGGCACCATGACCTCGGGGGGCGTTCGGAGAACAGACCAGACACGGTCACGTTCTTCATGGAACTCCGAGTCTATAGTTCACATTTCATATGAAGCAGTTAATTTAGAATAAGGGTGAATGTTTTCCCAACGCCTAAAAAATGTAGGTGAGATAAACAACAAAAAGCCATCATTTTAAAGTGAACAATTCCGTGGTGTTTAGGACACAACCACCGCTTACATCTTGTTCCAAAACATTTCCACCCGTGAAGCAGTTTCTCTCCAGAATAAGTTAATTTTTAATTACTGATAGTTTCAAATCCACCTACATCAAGCTGTAAGTCTGTCTTCTTTGTGAAAATGGTGCTTTAAAACTGAGACATCTTGTGAATTCAGAGAAAATGGAAACCCTCCCAAAACTATCAGTTTTTTAAAAATTCGCAGAAGTCAGCTTGTGGTTTCCCTGAGAGCACTGATTCAGAGGTTTTCAAGGGCAGGAGGGTACACTAGGGTGTTAGGGAAACCCTGGGAGTGTGTTGGGCTGTCACATGACGGGGGCAGAGGGGGGGCATTCTGGCCACAGTGGGAGGGGCCAGATATGCAAAGTTCCTGTCTTGGATACACACACAGCTCCAAGCCCCAACAGCCCCTTTGAGAGATGCACTACTACTCCAAATAGGTTTTAAGGGAAGTGTCATTATTGTACTGGCTGGTGTGGCTCAATGGATAGAGCATTGGCCTGTGGACAGAAGGGTCCCAGGTTCGATTCTGGTAAACAGCACATGTCCAGGTTGCGGGCTCGGTCCCCAGTAAGGGGGTGTGCAGGAGGCAGCCGATCAATCATGCTCTCTCATCATTGATGTTTCTATCTCTCTCCCCCTCTCCCTTCCTCCCTGAAATCAATAACACACACACACATAAAGTGTCGTTATCAACACTTATCCTGGGTTAATTTGCATTTCTTATTCTTTGAACAGCAATCTAGGAAATCTTTCCACATACAGAAAAATGACAAAGGATTAATGTTACTCACAATCGTGACCTACATTTTATATCATCATTTGGTCCAAACATTGAGACAATGAGGAACTGGTGCTGGCGGGCTGTGGCTGCAGCCGCACTTACACTTTCCTTAGATAACAGGGCAGCTGTGGCCATTCGCTGGGCTTCCCCGGAGGAACTGCCAACAGCACAGCGAAGGAGAGCAAGCACACTGTTTGGAATCAGACACGTTCAGGCATCTTTTTACGGCCTCTCCTCAAGCTGTGGGTGCAAGGCTGGCTCTTTCCTCTTTCCTTTTGTTTTTGTTTTTTTGACAGCAAAGGACAAAATAATTCATTCAAAAATAAAAATAAAAAGAATCCTCTTATTTTAAAAAATAGACACTAAAATAATTGTGGATGAAATGACGTATGTGAGCCTGGCAGGGGTGCTCAGTGGTTGAGCGTCAACCTATGAACCAGGAGGTCACGGTTCGATTCCCGGTCAGGCACAGGCCCAGTTGCGGGCTCCATCCCCAGCAGGGGAAGCGCAGGAGGCAGCCGACCCATGATTCTCTCTCATTACTGATGTTTCTCTCTCTCTCTTCCTCTTCCTTCCTCTCTGACATCAATAGAAATACATTCTTTAAAAAACTACTCATTAAAAGTCTCCGCACACTGCTTATCACTGGGCAAAGCGATGTGAAAAGACACCCTTTCCATCATCTTCTGCCCCCGAAACGCAAGGCCCTCGGGTGGACCAAGCGATGACTCTAGAAGGTGGAACAGCAAGGCTTCCCCCCCAGCTGCTCCCTGCAGGGAAGCTCAGACCAACTAGACACACACAGGACCATCCTCCCAACGCACGCAGTCCTGGGGTGCTGCTTGGGGTGCTGCTGGGAACCAGTGTGCGCGGCCGCGTGGACTTACGTGATGGCGACGTTGCTCCCGTCGATGACGATGTGCTTCAGGTCCGTCCTCCCCGGCTCGTTCTTCAGCTCCAGCTTGTAGGGCACCTTCAGGGTGTCTCGGAACCTCTGCACCCCCGTCACTGAGGAGTCGATGTGATCGGAGAACCCGGCCGAGAGCCCCAGCGGGGGCAGCGGCGTGGGCGGGAGGGGCTGGCAGTTCGGCCTGGACTGCGGGGAGCCGAGGCAGCCGGCCCGGCTCTCACAGGCCGACTTGAGATGGTTGGGGAGCAGGGCCTCTCCGTGCGGCTGCACCCCATTCTCGGGGAAAACTGGAATCCTGGGCTGGTGACCTGACACTCCCCTCGAAACAAAACTGGGGCTCGAGGGGGCGACGGAGGGGGCAAAGCCATCGATTTCCAGGTCCATGTTCCCGCCGTAGTTGGGGTGCGGGCCCCAGGGCTCCAGCCTCTGCTCCATCGGCCCTGTTTTGTAAGCGTTCATTCTGCAGTTTGAGGTACACGGTTTTGATTCCGCTTTGAACGGTAGCGGAGAAAATTTCTTCACCGTATTTTGCTGAGCTTGCGTTTTCTTTGGGGTGGAATCCTCGGTGAACTCGTTGGTGCTGCTACAAACTCCCTTGTGTTTGTTTTTGCTGGTCTCGGGGTGCCCGGTGGCAGGCGCCGACTCCCGCTCCTCCTGGCTCCGCCGGTTCTCCTTCTCGATTTCCTCCAGCAGCAGCAGGGGCTCGGCGGACGGCCCGTACTCCCGGATGACCTTCTCCACGATGTCCTGCGAGTAGCCCATGGTCTTGAAGAAGTTCACCAGGATGTTGTGCTCCATCTCCTCGGTGGTGTCTTTCACGTCTGGGCTTAGCCCGTCTGGCTCACTGGGCGCCTCGGACA